CTCACTCACTCACTCACTCACTCACTCACTCACTCACTCACTCACTCGCCCACCACCGCCACCGTCACCACGATCCCCAATTTGATCACCACCATTACCTCTCTGGACCCCAATGCGTCAAGATCTCTAAGCTTTCTGCTTATAGACTTCACACACTGTTTGGGGTCTCTTGCCGGGATAATTTTAGACACTTGAATTGAGGACTGAGGACCTCCGTCGATAGGGCTGTCCTTTTGCTCCAAGAGTCTCAGGACAAAGATTTGATTTTCTATGTGGGTGTGGGTTTGCCATGCGTGTGCAGCGTCCTCGTAGCCCTTGGACTAGCCAAGGCTTCTTGGAGGATGTGGAAAGAGTGGGGAGAAGCTCTCGGTCCATGTTGTGGGCAATGAACATTCAGGAAACTAGCGGACTCCTAACATGAAGTCCCATCACTGTACATGCTGTACATGAGCTTAGCTCGGCCGTGGATGGCGATTTTTGGGGGACTGCTAACTGAGCACGGTCAATCTAGTCACCTTTCACATGGTCAATCCAGCCACTCGGAGCTTGGAGAGCATGGTCCGCAAAGGTGGTCACTTTCCTGGTGGACTTGGTAATTCTGATAGAAACAGAACCATTTTCAAATAATTTCACAAAAGGGAGTCAATCTAGAATCTTCTATCAACGGAAGAGGATTATCTACAGCGATCCTAGATCAGGTCAGCTGCCGCGTGTCGGCACCAGAGGCCGGGCGGGCGCGTGGGTCACCGGCGCCTGGTCAAACCGGTCGGATTGTCAACGAGTCGGTGTTGGACCGAGGTGGGAAGGGTATTTAGCAGTGGATGGCTAGGTGGATGGGTATACTGGTGCTGCAAACACAGATCACCACAGCAACACCCTGTGAGATTCGCTTGGGAGAGTCAATGCTTCGAGCTTGGCAAACTCAAAAACAGGATGCACAGAAAGCGATTCCCTGTTGATAGAACTTCGGAACAGCCTTGTGCCGGAGGTTTCTCCAGCTCCTGTCGGTCCTGTGGAGCTTTGCGAGTCGATTCCAGAAATCAACCACCCTGAAGTAATTGAATCATGTCGAATCGCGAAGTGATCATGTCACCATGATTGTTTATTCGAAAATGAATCCAACAAGAAGGAAGAGGAGTCGGGTGCCCACAATTTCTGGGATGCCAATTGGCCCCTTTTGGCACCGATCACTCGTTTGGCCACGTTTGGCCGCCAGTTGTGTGGCCGAGAGAATTCCACCGTCCAGGCAGTGGCAATTGCCGTGGAAGTTTGCTATCAGCCGCATGGCGGATGGCACACATCGTTTTTTTTGCGTTTGGTTGGTTGCACCCGAGCTAAAACAGTGGAGCAGGAGTCCGTACCTGGAGCTGCCGTCCATCATGATCAATCTGTTCTGGCGAGGTTAGATTTTATACCAGAACCTGAGTGACCCCTAGAACCTGAGTGACCTCTAGCTCTTGATCACTGTATATGTAATTATTACATAATTGTATAATAGATATACATATATATATATATATGTGTTTATAAGCCAGTCTTTGAACAGATTGAGGCCTGTCTCTACAAGTGGGGAATGGTTTTCGGAGTATGATGGGATTTTCTCCGCTCAGCGTCACCTCCAACATGTCTGATGAACTCAAGGGGGGCGCCACCTCGCCCCTGAAGACATCAACTCCCCTTTTCAAGCACTTTCCAAATTCATCCAAGTTCAGATCTTCTAGTCAACTGAGTCAACTTTCAGCTTCACCACATACTCCCGTGACACCACCGGTCCCTCGATTGGTCGTGTCGGTCCCCTACCTTCGCACGACCGCAGGAACACCGGGCTTGCCATGGCCATCGCTTTATCCGCCTTCGACAAGAAAGATGCCTCGCGGGCGGCGGGAGTCCCTTTGTTCTATGCCTTTCTGCAGGTGTCGGGACCCGAGAGGGCGAGGCACTTGCCTCTCTTTTCGGTGGGGTGGTGTGACGACTTGGTGACTTGAAGAAGAGCATTGGGGGTTTTGGAAGACAGATATGACGACTAGTTACTAGTTGTTATATAATAAGTCAATCAGTTGTTCACTGAACACTGTGAGATGTCCAAAATCGTGGCGGCCCTGTGAGATGATTTTTTTTTAATTAACTTGTATCTTACTTTAATCAATCCCAAAAGTGAACTGGGCGGTCAACAGTTTTATGTTCAGGCTGTCACCCCTCAATGCCTTCTTAAAAGGACCTCCTTGGCACCAATGCTGCCTTCAAGAACCACCCTACGCACCACCCAACACTGAGTACCTTGGGTTGTTCTTTCTGCTAGGATCGCCATGTCAAAGATATGCTTACAGTACACTTCTTTAAATTTGGGATCATTTGGGCAGTCGGGAGTCCTTCCCGCAGCGTTTTGAACGACGACCAGTCGGGAACTGATCGGCCTCCTTGATCGGTCTCCTTGAACGGCACTCAACTAGACAAGGTTTTCCAAGATGAATGCGGGGATTAGATGATAGTGGTTTCATTTACATCAAGATGTCACCTCTAAGTGGAAGGACCACCTGGGTTCCAAGGTGTGTCCTGCCGATGTTCTTGCTTGTCGCATGGAAGAGCGGCCAGACCTATGTGCCTTGGGTAGAGTCTACAGCTCGTTTGTCGCCCTCACGCGGTAGAGTCTTAGAGGAAGATACACTACTTGAACACCATCATGGAAGTGGATGGCAGCCAGGTCATGACCATGCCATCCTCTACCATCAGGATCAACCAGGTGGTTTTCCTCGAAACCATGATGATTTCAGGAAGTGTAGTCTTGCAAACCCTCTTGACAGGGGTAAACTGTTTGTTTCGGGCGAGGTTCTAGTGATGAACGAAAGGACAAGGATTCTTGAAGGATGAAGATCCATTAAAAAATCCATGAAACCATCAGCTTGGACATGCCCACCCATGTCCATCATGCAAGCGTATTGCAAGCATGACAGCCCTGCTTCTCAAGAGTGGTGACATGTTGTGACTCGGTTCCTATGCTCCAATAGTGTGATTTTGCAATCTTCCCTGTCATTGTATGCCGTTGTAAACTTGGATCTTTGTTTGCAAAGGTTCGAGACGGGAAGTCTTACACAGGGTCAGGAAGCCAGCGGGGTGCCACAAACAGCAAATTACACCTGGGGTACGCATATTTCAATAATAGGTCCTCTCCTGACAGGAACATCTACAAACATAATCATCGAATGAATCATGTTTCATCAGTGTTAAACCTGTTGACTCAAATATTTCATAATATTTCACTATCTTCATGAAGATAATAAAGTACTGTAATTGAACAATTGAATCAACAGGTTTAACAAGATTGAACAAGTTCATCAGGCTTGCACATTTGCAGAACTGTTACACTGGACACCGCAAAGCCCGTGCCCTCCAAGAATCGGTTGGCGAACGACGGGTTTCCCCTACGAACGGTTTTTTCTCCACGTTCATTGGAAGCTTCGGGAGAGTCATCCAAAAATACGACTTCGGGCTGAAGCGCCAGATCCGAAGCTCGGGACAGACCCCGAAGCAGTACCCACCCCCAAGGCGCACCTTCTAGAGTCTAGTAGTGAGTCTAGTCTAGAGACTTCTGCCAGTTCTGAAGAGCTCGTGCCTTAAGAGCCAAGCAGCTCGCGTCTTTACGCGCTCAGATGTTTGGGGATTCAACAACCTTCTGAGATATCAAGCCATTTGAGCATATTTGAGCTCTTTGGTCAATGGATCTCCTCTCAGATGGCTGGTCATCTAGCTCGATCCCAGCGGTGACGGCGGGGTTCTCTCAGTGCCGAGATCGGTGCTTTGGAAGGGAAGGCCCTGCTTAGAGAATCAGTTTTTTGGTTTCAGAAACCGAAGCCAAGTGGTCTGCTGCGGTCCTGAAGAGGAAAAAAAGGGGAAAGCACCAGTTGGACATGTAGAAGCAGTTTTAACAAGTGAATCCACTCGATCACGCAGACTTTTGGGGTCGGCTTTGGCTGCTTAGTGAAGCCAGCTGTTCGTCTTGTTATACCGAGGCACCTAGCAAGGATCCGATTTGGAGGGTGATCTTCTACAACTACCAGACGCTGGGCTTGAACTTAGCATGATTTGCACCTTTCACGTGGAACAAGTCCGCTGAGGAGGACACACTCGAAGTCTAAGGTCAGCTCTGTTTGTGAAGAAGTGTTCAACTTGTGAACTTAGTCATGCTGCTTGTGGTCCAAAAGCACTTTCACCAACTTCCAACTTCACTTTGCGTTTGCCCAGTCCACTGCATTCACATGTTCTGTACAAATATATATCTAGCCCCGTACCTCGTCTACCCTGAACCATACTAGGCGTGTTGAGGTGCGGATGAACAGATCACAAGATTCATACGTCTAATGTATTTACTATATATATATATATGATTTCTGGGCTGTGTAAGACTGTACATGTTGTATGTCCTCTCCTCCTGCTGTGACGTGTATATAATATATATATATATGTATAATTACACATTTTAGCTATGTGTGTTTATTGTTCATCTGTGGTTCCATTAGGATCTGAAACAGCAGAGGCTGTCAGCGGCACAAAATCCACAGATCCGCAACACATGTGGGTGTGAACAGGGTTTGTCCCATTACCAGCAACAATCGGCAAACAATTATCACTACGTTTGGGAATGGCATTTACCATCATCATCATCGTCATCATCCACTGTAACTGGTAATGGCATCTAAGTAGTTTGTAGCATGATCAACCCTTAGTACCCTTAGCTCCAAGTTTGCCTCCAGACACAGACAAGACGTCCAACAACAAGACTTCACTAGATGTTGAAGGCCCAGATGACCTGGACACGAAAGGTAGCCATTTTTGAAGTCCCTATCCTTGTGTGGCGGGTGCATTGATGCTTCGAGTTTCAAAGTCACTTGGAACAGAAAAGCGTAAAGTAACATCAACGGTCTTGAAATCAGCCGACTCAATACACATATTTACGCGGAATCCATGTTATTTGTGTGTATTAGAATGGATCTCCCCAGGGCCTCTGTGCTGAAAGGAAACATGGAACCACCTTGGAATTCACGTGTCATCACGTGTCACTTCAGCCATTTTGAACAACCGCGTCTAAGGCCCAAGCATAACGTGCAGGCGCTTCGGCACATGCTTCTTTGAGGGTTGGTTTGCACTGTGCACTGCAGGATGCTGTGATGAATGGGCATCCCCAAACTTCCAAAAGCCAGAGAGAAAGTGCTGAAAGACAAGAATCAACACGTGGATTCCATATTTTCTTGAATATGTTTGACCTGGCTGATTCTGCGGCTAGATAGTTCCTAGGCGTACTGTGCCAGGTCCTGTTTGGAATGCTGTGGATATCGTGCGAGCTTGCCAATGGTCAGTCATCCAGTGCTAGTGAAGGACCCTGTCCGTAAGAACCAGGTCGTTGAGGTTGTGAAGAGAAGAGACAGCTGGTGGAGTTAAGCTTCTCTAATGGCCTCAGACATACAACTGCACCATTTGAAGGATGAACTTATGCAATACCCCCTTGAAGACTAACATGGACCCTGAAAACCACTGGTCGGTAGAGGAAAACCATCGGACCCAGGGGCCCAGGACGTCAGGGTCCATGTTAGTCTCCGGGAGCGTAAAGGAAATTTTACATTATAAATTCATTTTAAATGACCTGTAATATCTTAATATCTTAGATAATGTTGTACCTTTCATATCTTAGATATGTTGGTCGCCCTGTGGTCGCCAGAAGTTTGGTAGGACTCCACACCATCCGTTTGGCTGTGAAAGCAGCAGCTGTCGCAGCCAGCTCGCCAGCCGGTCGTCTTCTTCGCTCGGAACCCACACGACGCGTCGTGAGTCGCTCAGCTCCGCCAGGCATGGCCGTCCAATCGAGATCTAGAGGCTCCGAAGGCGGATGTTTTGGATGGTGAAAGACAGATGGATCTGTCCATGGCTTGTCTGGAAGTGTTTTCCAGCACCGGGCGAAAGGGTCGACATGTCAAAGGATTGTTGTTTTTTTCTTTTTGATGGTGCCGTGGCTGCCCGGGAAAAAAAAAACATGAGTGCACAGCACATGGTTGGTTTTCCAACTGCTTGGGCCAAAACGAGCGATCTGCCCGGCCACTTCGGAGCCATTGGGTCCTCGGTTTGTTCGAACTGATGCAAACCGTCCACGTTTTATCAATAGAAAAAATGAAAACACGTTTCAAGGATGTGTGTATGTACCCACCCTTCGTGTGAAATGGTATTTATATACAGTATTTTTGCTGATGTTCAGGCTACATTTGGACCATTTTGGAAGGCCGCAGGTTCCTGTACGTACAGAGCGTTTGGGAGGCCACGTGTGGGCCACACACCTGCAAAGCCTTGCAAGGTCTGTGGCTTTGAAGTTCAACAATAATTGACCTGTGTGTAGTTCAACCTAAAGCTTGGAGAAGAACCTCTGAACTCTTCAAATCTTCAGTCCTCAAATCCTCAAACATGAAGAGACCGTACCTCCGGCGTTGCTCCGGTGTGTGGCCTCCCATGTTTGCTCACATACCTCACAGGTCAAACATGGTCAAACATACCTCACTCTCGGCGGAAGAGACGGAAAGTACTCGTGGAAGACAAGGAAAAGGAGCCCAAACGAATCCAAATGAGGAAGAACCGCCGGAATGTCTCTTCATGTTGTATGTGTCACACTCCTTTGGTTCACCTATTGGAATCTCTTTACTTGCTAGTATAGTGATATAATATATCTATATCTCTATATATACACATATATGTGACACTATCATGTGCCATCTCGCTTTGTACGAAAGGTGAGTAGACGGGGGAGCTGCAGTTACACACATATTATTCAGTTGTCCTTCCAGTATATCAGATTGAAGGGGTCACAATACCGCTTCAAGATATGCGAAAGAGTCCTGGAGGCTTTCTCAGTAAATAGTGTGAGACCCCTGGTCCTTGGCCGAGAGGAGATGCTAAGCCTTAATCGCCAGGCCAACCAGCTGAATGCCTCCCCTCTCGGAAAGTATCAGCACCAGGGCGATGAGGCGGGAGGGCGGAGCTTCTCGCCTCACGAGTCCCAGGAACCAGACTGGAAGAAAACAAGTGCCACATGCTCTCATACCCGTCGTTGGGCACCACATGGTGGGTAGCCGTGCAGCCGCTGCCTGATTCTTTGGTTCAGTCTCCTTTTTGGGGGGATCGAAAGGACGTGGATTGTGGAATTTGCAGAGGTTTGGACTTGAGTTTGGAGCACTCTTCACAACATGGAACCTTGGTGGATTTGAGTTGGACCAGTTCTGTCATGGTATTCGCTAGACCGAAACAAAAGGAGGAAAACTCGTTATACTGTAGCAAGTGCTGAAAGAGGACTACCTTGTCATGGTCACTAAAAGCGCACTTCACTGCATGCCCTGATTGTTTAGCAAGTCCTGATGGTTCAAAAGCTAACGTTTTCATGCAGCCACTGGAATTGTTGCAGATATGTGGGGCCGTCCCTATTATTTGTCTTTCCCCAGTCTTTCCTACTTTCACAGGAATTTGTCGCTGGTAGGGCGTATAGATGATAGATCATCCCAACAATCTGTGTGTGAGACACACGAAAAAAAAAAAGGTCAGGAAGAATCCGCGTTTGCAGGAGAATGCCAAGCAATCTGTTCACATTGTTCCTGAGCCTGATAAAGAATGATCTTTCTTGGTTTTTAGCATCAGTTTCTTTCGGATGCGCGGAATTGGACAGATCAGCACTGCAGCTGCACAAAGCGGACAGGAAAAAAACAAACATCATGCTGTAGTTCCACCCTCGATCTAGACTCCATGCTTTGCCAAAGTAGAGATTCTAGCAACTGGGTTTGGACTGTAAACATGTTCCGTTGGACCCTTGCAAGGGTCGCACCCTTTTCAAGCGTCGAATCCTCCAGAAGACTGTAGTATAATGATTGGGCGCTGCCTCACAGACAGTGCGGTGCAGCTCGGGATGCGTCCGCAATACCCAGAGGACCACCAGAAGGTCTGCAACATTTGTCGGTGCATCATGGACAGTCCACAGATGATCCAGAATCTGCAAGCGAGGTGTGAGACGTGGATCTCTCTTTTTGGTCTTCAACAAATTACCACTGCTCGATGCTCTCATCTCATCTCCGTACGCCTCTCTTGCACCATATATTTCAAATTTAAAGGTTTACTCTAGCCTGGAAGCGCAAAACCCATTTGATCCCCTCTATTTGCTACAGGAAAGTAGCCTTCAACCTGTTGGTCCATTTGATGGTAATTACTTTATGGGAGTGATTGGGAGTCTTTTCCCATTTCAACACTACCTCAGACGTGGGTCTGAATGAATTTGGACCGCGTTTTCGCTGATCTCATCCGTCCGTTCCGCCGTGTGGCGGGCCGTCCGAAAAGAACCGGCCGAAAAGCGCCTCAAACGAAGAGGCAGCGCGGTGAGACGAGTGTTTCCATTGGAGAAGTCACAGGACACTTCCAGGACACCAGGGATTCCATTTCACTTCATGATTTATGCCGTGCCACACACAATTATTTCAAGTGAGGTACAGTGTGAGCGTTGCAATGCGTTGCAGAAGCAACCAGGCTCCCTCATCTTCTCATGGTCTCGGAATATCGGCGAGGTCATTTTGAAGGATCAGGACCACTCATATTCTTAGACGTAGCTCAAAGTGTTGGTGCAGCACGACGGAGCCCCGTCAGGGTCCCGCGAGAGCACCATCCAGACCTGCTCAAATGTCGAGCTTCCATGGTACAACTCCACGTCACGATGCTTCAAATTGCTTCAAGTCCCCGACCTCTTCCCCGTTGTTTTGCAACTGCCGACCAGCATTTGTCCATGCATTTTCCGACTGCCGACAGGATGTTCGTAATCATGGTTTTCCAAAGAAGCACTGGTGCCGTAATGCACCAACACTACAGTTTGTTCCAGGACATGTTCACGGAATATCCCATTTACCATGTTTTGTGGTGTCATGAAATAAGTTGTTCACACGACCCACTTGGAAGATGACGGGTTTGCTTGCCAGCCACGAGTTCATTGTGTGAACGAGTCCCGGAATCGTTCAAAGCTCTTGGAAACACTCGAACTATTTGTGGAGTGCTCTCGAAGTAGAAGCTGTAATTTGGAACTTCTTGTTATACAACAATTATGCTTCTCAAACTGATCAGTTCGTTCTCACTGGGATCACGCAAAAATCAACCCGATTTTCTGAGCAGTGAAGCCTACGTAGGGGTCTTGAGCCATTTATTGTAAAGACCTCAGAGCAGATTGGAGTAGATCCCGGAGCAGGTTATGGAGCAGGTTCAGGGGCAGAGCAGGTTGCGGAGCAGCAGGTCCTGGAGCAGGTCCCGGAGCAGGTTCCGGAGCACGTTGCGGAGCAAGTTCTGAGACAGACTTGTAGCAAGAGAGTGGGGGGGGAAGAAAGAGCCTGAATTTGATAATTGTGCCGCTTGGGGACTATGGAGCCACATGACCTTTATCCTCATATATACGGCGCTCACTCAGAAGGAATGGCCATGCAAAAGTGTGCACATCCAGGCTTCTACTGCCATATTTTATACTCGTCAGGAGTGGCCAGTTGTTGAATTCTTCGCAGAGCCAGGAAAAGGCTATGGTGCTGCGCGCTGTCTTCAAGACTTCTCATGCACTGTTACAGGGCTTCACTTTGATCCAGCCGCCAGCCTTTATATTTCCCGTACGCTGAGCATTCCGGTGGTGTGAGGAAAGGGCCCGGCACAATCAGCTTGGATCTCTCTCCGGTGCTGCTGAATGAGAGTGGTCGGGTCCACGGGGTAGTGGACTCAGTGAAAGTTTGAACTCGTCAAACTCCAAATGTATTGTTCCGAAGTATATAAAGAGAACCATTGTCATTTCCATCAGGCCAAGCTTTAGACTGAAGCGCAAAGGTATCGGATTGAGGCCATGTCTCAAACCTTATAGTGTTGACACTCACGCCAAGTCTCACGTTGCAGGTGACGCAACATCATGAAGAGCTTCCAGAGAAGCTCTTCGACGCAGAATGCAGTCACCAGACCAGCCAGTCAAAGGCTCCTGCAGGCTTGCCTGGCCAACCCAGGCCTCTTCCATCATCAAGTTTGGCTGCATGCTTGATGCAAAGTCAAGCCGTAATATGTACAGGAGCACCAACCCACCCATGGATAACTGAGCCATGGCAAAGTTCAGCTCAATTCATTGTTCCATATATTGTTGCTCTCATACAGAAGCTTCCCTCTGAAAGTGCTCTCGTCCGGGCCTTGTTGTGCCTGCAGCTCAGGCAAACCCTGATGCATCCCGCCTTTGGGAGCTGGTGGACATAGCCCGTTGAAGGCTGCACCCTCTCCGACGAAGAGAAAGAGTCACGCAAAAGGGTCATCACCGACCCCAATGATGAACGGCTCCAATTGGATCGCTTCAGGGAAGCTCCCGTGATCGTGTCCAACAACGATGCCCGGTATCAGATCAACAGATTGCCCCATGAAATTCTTGAAAGCATGTACGATCACGAACTGTTGTCCATGATGGTTGGCGATACAGTCGTGCAGCTATATGGTGCAAAATGATGCACGCTAATTTTCTCCCTAAAAGATCTTCAAAGATTCAGTTGTCGTGAGTCCTGAGGCTTTGAACAGCTTCTAATCGCACCCCTTCCTGCAACGAAACCTTTCACAACAGAAAAGTTATTCCTTGCCAGACTTTTGGTGATGCAGCCGGGTCCCAGTCTTGCCCATAGGTTGGACCAAGCATACATGTGCATGCGTATGTACTGAGTGCGCTTGCTGACCCGCATTTGCAGAAAAGCAAAAGCTCCAGGTCCTCACGCTACCGTTCCCATTAACGCCATCATTTTCTACGCTGAAGAACCGAGTGCTGATGTATAGCTGCCATGGAAACAATGTTTGCGCAAGGGGTCTGCCAAAAACGAGCACTGATATAGGGCTACGCAATCATTTTGCAAGTGTTAGTCCATTGATGTTGCAGGTGCATTTGTGGCGTGCTCTTCTGAGGGGAAATATACCCCACTCATGCCCCGCGTGATGAAAAGTTGGATGCATGCTGGGTCCATCAATCGCCCACAGCTTCGAAGGAGCCAGCCCACCCCAGGCGCGCAACCTCTGGGCAGAGGCAAGAGTTGCTGCCTTCGCCCATCATCTATAACTAACCTATTGGATTTACACACTAGCCTCTTGGACTTGCAGCGTGGGTAGAGCTAATTCTTAACCACGGTTGCCTTGCTGTCAGATCAGCTGGAACAGACAAGCAGTGGTGTGTTGGAAGGCAGGGTGATATGCCTTGGCTGACAAATTGCTTGCCGGTGGTTGCTTGCCGGTGGCTTTCGGGCTACCATGAAGGGAATTCAGGGTGATCAAGATTACATTGGAGTTGTTTTTTTGCCTGGAAAGGCATGCTGGCAAGAAACAGGGTTGCCACTACTGGACTCCTTTGAAAGACATACAAAGACTACTTGCCGTGAGACATGTGGACATCATAATTCTTTGAATGAGCTGTGAGCTGTGCACCGTTTATTGTCGGAAATTGCACCGTTTATTATTGGCTCATGGCGCTCCAGGGCTTAACGTCCCTCATCAGGGCTTCAGGATATTTGCGCAGATGCTGTGTCGTCGCTGCTCCTTCACTGTCTGATGCTCACGGTTTTCTGGCCAGACAAGAGATGATCGGCTATACAGTGAGTGCATGGCGCTCAAAAGAGCGCATTGGCAACAGGGACAGGGCAACCTAGCAATAGCCAAACTGAAACCTTCAGTCACGTGAGCCGGAAAGTTTGGCCAGTCACTGCAGCGCGACAGTTGCTACTGTTGTGGGCAAACCAAGTAGTGATGGTTTGGATCCTTTTTGAGGGCTATTTTGAAAATAGATTCTTTCCTAGAAACAAACTAGCTCATTAATGCGGAAAAGTTTCCTGCTAAGCAACTAGCCTCTCAAACTTGTACAGCCAAATGGGAACCCAAGCGAAAACTACGATCCCAAGGCGTCTAAGTTCATAGACCGCAGAGCAGTTTTTTTCTGGAGGTGTTAGTCGGGCCAGCCCTTAGAATCCGAAGAAAACTTCAAAAAGGGGCTGGTCACTCCAACATGCTGACGCGCTGAGATGCTGACGTCGGGTCATGCTGTCGTGCTGACATGTTGGCAAGCTCCAGTTCCGGAACGCATTCTGTGGCACTTGGTGTTGAACCTGCGACGTTGCAATTGCCTATATAGGTTCATTCATGCCCAACTGTTTGTTTTTTTTCTGCGGCCTATTGTTTTTGGTGACTACTTCGGGAACTGGTGATTCATCGAGATGGTGGTGGTGCAGGCGTATCTCCCACCACAAGAACCGGAACCAAAAACGACTGGATTCATATTTTTTGGGGCTTCGATGTTGTGGGGTTTGCGTGACCAACCAATTCGTTTGGGTTTGTGTATCCCTTGTTGGTTGTGCAAAACATGAACCATTAAGCCACCAGATTCTTGGAAAAATCCAGGTTGGAATTTGGAACCCAAAAAACCCTGACGGATATGATTTTTTGCGTCATCAACCCCCAGTAGTGCAACTACCCTGCATGCAGAGGACTCCCACAATGGGCGAAGGACTCACCAAAGGGGCAACCGCGTCGTTGAATTCATTCCGTATGGACTCTGGGATGAACTGGCGTTCAAAAAAACCAAATGAAAAGTTCGACGGACGTCGTTGTGTCGCTTTGCACTTTCATGTTTAAAGATCTGGTTCCTTTTGGCTAAGTCGCGCCAGGAAGGTTCCCTCAAATCCTCCCTTCCGAACAAGAGAGAGAGAGAGACAGAGCAACGACAAAATCAACTGGGTGAAGGTGCACCACGTCCATCGCAGTATGCAGTGCCTTGCCATGGACGCGGCCTGCCGGCGGGCCAGCGATTGAGTCGCGTCCTGTCGAAGCAAGGGGGAGTTATTGCAGCAACTGCTATGGTGAGGACATTCAGGAATGGATCAAAGACGTTCAAAGGGTGTGAGATGATGAATCCATTCAAATGCATGTTTATCCGGGGAATATTTGTGAAGGCTCTCAGGCTCTCTAGAATTTAGCCGTATCTACTTTTAGAGACGGAAATAGAGGCATGAAGAAAAAACCACCAAATGAAAGGGAACGGAACCGCTGGATGCAGTGAGGCATGGCCAACCATGCCAACGGATACCCATGAAGTAAACCAAATCGTTCCAAATTGATAACAAAAAGCAAACCTGGCCTTCATCAGCGTTTCTGCTAAAATTTAGTTGGCACCAAGGGGTTGCTTTCAAGTTCAGCATTATATAGTTTGGTCAAAGACGTGGCACAAAAGGTGCAAATCCGTTCGGGGTCCCAAGCGTCAACTGAAACCACTACAGATCACTACAGAACCATGGGGTTCCTAAACATGGCCAGTTTTGAATCCATGGGGGCTTCCCCCTTCGCTTGCCGATGTCATCCCCTTTTCGGCGCAGGGGATGGGGATCACTTGGATTCCCAGGATGATCGGAGCATTGCAATGATGACTGCATGTTTATAGATTGGCCTTTCTTCCAAATACTAAGAGGGCACTCTTTTTTTCCCCAAAAATACCTGTTTCAGAGAGGAGGGTGGAGCATCCAACATATCACCCTATTTCGGGACGGACCTTAGTAATTTGGGTTCCGCGGATTGCAATAGTCAATATTGCTTTGATCATCACACCTTATTGCAGTCAAAGGCTTGCAAGAGCGATCGTCCTTCATCGCTTTCAGAGCCTTTTTAGACCTACCTTTTTTTGTGTGGTGTGTGGAGCGCGGCTTAAGCCGTACATGCGACCTAACACGCCAGGAGTTTCGGGTGACCAATCCGGTCCAGGAATGCCTTTTCAGTCCAGAAGACTATGACGTTACTACTAGCTTCTTGCTACTACTAGTAAGGCACTTGTTACTACTAGCGATGCACCTGTTACTACTAGCTTCTTGTAACAGGTTGTTTTGTGTAATGTGCGTTCGCCCCCATGCGGCCGCATGTCGTGTTCCGGCCGCATGTCGCCCGAGACGCGAGTCGAGCCGAAGAAGAAAAGCCCTTTCAGAAACGGCTCAATTGGTCCACGAGGCTTCTGCCGACCGGTGCCTCCAGCGACACCCGCGGATGGAAATGGTGGGATCTAATGTGTTTGTCGTTTGTCCAATCTTTCCCCAGTGGAGAACAACGTCACTTCCCCAATAAATATTGTCTTTTGAAGCTGCACTTGTAGCCAGGAAGGGGAACCAATTGTTTTTTGTCCGCTTCGGGTGATGAGGTGATGAGCCGAAAAACTATGGGAGACCCCTGCCACGCTGACCTAGGTGGCAAAGCAAAGACCGTTGGTTTGCGACCGCGCAGATGTCAGATTTTTCTTCATACAGCAAATATATCAGATGTCAGATATCAGAGGCAGTTGGAGGGACCCCAATCTCTAGAGCCAAGTTCAATCTTTGTTTGACGCCCATGAACAAAAGACTTGCCCACGATTTGACGTTCTCCACTTGTCCATGACCATGCCTGAGCTTTGGGACAAAGTCTATGACAAGCAGAAGGTCAGACGACATATGACGGCATTGTTTGAAGAGCGACCATTGATGTTCAGCTGCCTTCTTCACATGTCTACGGGACTGTATGGTAAAACCATGTAAAACTCCCTGGGTGCCCCACCGGGCCCCACCGTGGACGACCTTCGAACGCTGAAAAAATGTGTTGCATCAACACACTGCGTAGGTGCAGCCATTTATATAAGAAACATTAAGACACAATGAAGAGAAAGACAGGTCTAACTCTAAAGGTCCAAAACAGGTCACGGGGGCATCGCTAGTAGCAACAAGTGCATCGCCATTAGCAGCAAGAAGCTCCGAGTAACAAGGGCAGCGCTAGTAGTAACAAGAGCATTACTGCAAGTAGCTAGAAGCAATAAGATATCGGTGGCCGTTGCTGGACTGGACCGGACCGCAGCTTGGTCATTTCGGGCTGACCGATGTCAGTTCACACGTCCGACCGGATATGCAAAAGGCTGAATGGGCAGGCTATACTGGCAGAACTGGTCAGGAAATCATTTGGTTGGTTGGTGGTTTCAATCATTTCAGGTTCACTCTCACTCTATCTGGGATGATTGATCCCATGTGTACGGAATGAATTGATCATTTGGTTCATTTGACCATGCTAACTTTTTTGGGATGCCTCCTCATGCGGGCTGGGCCGCTAACACGCAGGATGGTTCTCCTGCGTGTTCGACAGGAGGGTGACAAACACAGAGACAGGTTGGAAGTTTCAGTCCCTCAAACCCGTCAGGGTGATGGTGTGTTCATGTGTTGATCGTTTTTGGCATAGATACATATAGATACGCTGTGTTCACTTCAAGGTACCTGCTGTAGGGTCCCTACCGTTTGATTTCCCTGCTGTTTGATCAGAAGAATTCCCGTGGCACGTGAGCTCAAGAAAGCTTTGGTCCTTTGGTTTAGTTGCTGCCGGTTTGATAGGGGCTCATTTTAACGCGGGGACCTTCCAAAGACCCACATACCCCATCAATACTGAATCAATACACCTATTTCAATACCACCCATAGGTTGCCCGCAATTTTTCCCCAGGAATTTCTGGAGATCGCGAATTGATTGATCTCAGAGTGTCCCTTTTCTTTTAACAGCTTCTCAGGCCTGGCATCAATCATGGTGGCTAATACATGGGAGGCCTCATGAAAGGGATGGAGTATAGGAGCTTTTTGACAGACAGTATCAGACAGCATACAATATGCACGCAGTGAAAGCAAGGTTACCTTTCTTAGCCCTTCTGCAGATAATTGCTTGCACTATCTTGTCAATGTTGACCCTCCAAGAAAGGTGTTTGCCTAATTTTTGATCTATCCCCGTGCTCTCCCTGTGCAATCATCGTCCTGAGTTTACTGCTCTTCAATAATCTGTGAAACAAGAGACTCCAAAGTTTCGCCATGGGTGTATAGTACGTACTTGAAGGAGTTTCAACTGATTCAATCTTCAAGATCTTTCAAAACCTCCTCTTGGCACTGTGCAGTATCCTTGCAGCCATTATGATCGAGGCCATGGTAATGATTGGTTGTCGCGAGTGAAATCTTTTTGGGTTGGAAGAACTTTTGCACCACCTGAAACTGTCAGAGCACTGCATAGCAACAACCTTAGGACGCTAGGAACACCATACTGTTGCACACGTTTGGACGTCGCCCATTTCCCTCTCAGCCACCAAAATCGACACCAAAGATAGGCCTAACTGTAAGGAACTCTCCACGCTGTGCTGTGCGGCGCTTTTTTTTCTCTGTGGAGGCGTACCGAGTCCGGTGGTTGAACAGACGGTTCGGTGGTTGAAGACTTGCGGTACCTGCAAACTGTTCTGCAGCAAAGCAACCTCAAAGGTCTGAACATGAATCTGAATGATCATGACAGCCGATCAGATGTTGCTCAGTTCACGATCCTTCGTCACAAAGGTCGAAGTCGCAAGGAAAGGGAAGAAGTGTCTCCACACCCAGGAGATTCACTTTGGTCCTACTCAAATCAACAGGTAGACTTGCTCGAAAAAGGTTCAAGATCTTCCCAACTGGCCGACGTGGCGGGGTCGATAGTGTGGAGTTCCGGGGAGGCAAACCTTGAAAGTCGCAGCTTTGATGTGTGACTTTTAAAGGTGACACGTATCTCCCCGTACCGCTCACACCTCTCCTATTGATGATCAGATTGATCGACCCAAGCGATGTTCAACAAGCGGTGAAGAAGCAGGTTAAACAAGCCCATGGTTAGGCGGAGTTTTGACTCCCACCCCAACAAGTACAAACAATGATGACAATGACAACATCAACAGCTGTGCCAAAAAGGACTTGGAAGTTTCCTGTCACTGGGTGAACATTGTTACATATTGTTACAAAGTCACAAATCTCAATTTTCAAGCCTACAGATTGCTGTTTGTGTTTAACCATGTTTAACCCTTTATATCCGGGGTGCTTTTTGGAAACAATCCCTTTGGATGGATCCACTTGCCTTGGATCTACGTGGGATCCAAAGCCCGGACATTCACTTTGGAGCCTATGCAAGTGCTGTGGGGCCATGGACATGCAGGTCTTTGGCTTGCAGCTGGGCATTTTCACCAGAGATACATGCTGAAGTGACCGGGTACCATGTCATCCTGGGGGAGCAAATCAAGTGGCTCTCCCCAGACTCTTCTGGTCCTAAAGTATGTCATTGATTCATTGATGCAAAAGAATCAGAAACCAGCAGAAACCTATATATTTGACTGTAGCTCACACCCCAGTAAAAGCTGATCCAAACAAGGCTCAAACGTCAAAACAATCAAGATCAACAAGACTCTACATCATTGTTTGACATTCTGAAAGGCGTTCTACGCTCAAAACCCTGACACAGGTGACGCACACCCACCTCACCCGCCCCGCTCCTCCGGCCGCTCCCGGTCGCACCCGCTCAACCCCACGCCGCACGGTCCGCGCGCGCCATGGAGCGCGTGGTCAGCGGCGGCTTGGACTTGGAGTCCATCACGGATGCAGAGTTCTCCAAGTTGGTGGGGCAACAGGCGATTGGAAGGGGCGAGGCTGTTGTGATGCAGATTCTCAGGTATCACAGCAACCCCACAAGATGATCAATCAAAATCCCTTAGAGTAATTGGACATCGTGTCTGTCCGGATTGGGGATCCTTGGGGTGACTTTAGTCTTCTTTTCAAACCATATCTTACGATTACCGATCCCTGAGAACTGCAGAAGCAAATCCGACTCTCGGCTGAAGCCTGACTCAGAAGCCCCCGGATGACGACGGACACACTGCAATGACGGGTAGACACCGCCCAGGAATTGGGCAGCTTCGGGGTAGACACATCTCACAAAGCCACTATGTACGGAGAGGGGGTCGTAAGTGGGCCAATCAAATCGGATACAGACCCATGGGACACAGACCCTAGGTCTCAGTACAACCGGGTATATCGCGGATGAAAAACGCATAAACAAAGCCACCGTTTGGAAAAGTCTGAGTCGAGTTGACAACCATGGTCCATGCAGTGTTCCTTTTGTTAAGAGGGATGTTAGATGTTCATCAATCCCTGAGAACCCTGCAACGCACGCACCCAAATTGAATCATATATGATCCCAAAAGGCTACGCATGGAACGGTTTCCCAAATGTTTATTGCAATTGGGTCACTCCAACGTGGTGTTGCAACAGGGTGCGGGGCCCGGCAGTACCATCTCCGTCATCGCGCGATCGAACCTTTTCCTGGCGCGATCGAAGACGTCATCGCGTTCGAACCTTTTGAACACGCAGGTGACGATCTTTCAGGCAATGCTGAAGCGGCACCAGGAGAAGTGTCGTGAAACTGGGAATGGAGAAGTCCTGGACTTGAAAACTTGGACGTAAATGTCGAGAGATTGTGTTTTGATGCTGTTTGAGAGAGCAGAGATGCTATTTGTAGATCGTACACTTGGAACATCCGCATTTGCCTACATACGGGTACAGGGTACAGGATGTAGATCGGTCCATTTCGAGCACTCGAAGTGATGACTGGCATTTTGATTCGGCAGCACATGGCTCGATCGAATTTGGAAGGTGCTGCACGACAGGAGTCTCATGAGTGGCACAATCGTGGCACATATGACAGTGTCACTAAAGACACCACCTAATTATGCAACACTAATACAGTTGTATACCTCTCCCTGGTTTAGGTTGCTTTCTGATCAATCTGGCTGTGATCTGGGCCCAGCCGCTGATTTTGGGATCTTTTCCAGGACCTTGTGTCTGCACTGCGCATGGAGATTGAGGTGCTGAAGCACGAGCTCGGTGATCGGGACAGCACGGGAGCATGGCATCATCCGTCGCAGGGACCAGTGGTTGTGAGTGGGGAGGTGCAATGGGGGTGGGTAGGTAGGCGGAGGCTTCAAGAATCCGAAAGACCTGCTCACCATCAGGGACTCCTCACATCACTTAAGACTTAAGACATATTCAGACTCATTGAGAGAGTCCTCGATCAGGTGTTCTTATGTGTTTTGTTTTTGTTTTCGGCCTTTGTTCACCATCATCTTTTCCAATTATAATGTTCATATCATGTCATGACGAAAAATCGCTGAGTGCGAGATCGCTCCATTGTAAGCGGAGAGAACTGCAGGGAAGGTCTTGGAGACAGCTTTTTCCCAGGAAGAGCTCGAGTTTTCTTCGGAACAACGTCTTGCATGTTGGCTGCTTTCAAATGTGTTCTAAGACGATGTGTTCTATGGAGATCCAATGAGATCTATGGACGAATGGACATGGTCATGGAGATTCATGGCTTCCTCTCGGACGCAGTTTCCGTTGAGTTTCGAATGGCGCAGGAGGCGAGCCGCTTGCCGTCCCCGGAGAGGTCACCGATGTCTCCCCTGAAGTGTTGGGAGCCCAGTTGATCGGGGCGAAGCCGCCCAGCGGGTCGCCCAGCGGGTTCAATCAGTCAAACACGTGTCCAGCGGTGTCCAGCCTTGCAGAGACGTCGAGTCCGATCCATATCATGAACATGAGGTTCTTCGAAGACCTTAGAACTAACCCAGTCCAGTGTTTGCAATTCCAACGTCCGGTCCTCAAGCTAACAACATTTAACATCCAGCCTGAGACGCCAGAACGTCGGATCTTGCCTCATTCTTTCCTCAACCGGCCAGATCAACGGATCGAGACTTCTATTCCCCCCCAGACGCTCGCAGAAGATGTGCCTGTCGATCAACGGACCTTGTCCAGATGCAAAGCTGAGGCCTGGGCAGCGGCCTCCTCGAGCCGCAAATACCCGTCACCAGTGCCTCCTTTGCCAGCGGAACCATGCCACTCATGGGAGTACCTCAGGAATAAAGAAACCATTGTGACTGGGTGATCACGGCCACGTGGTGGGAGGTTGTTAGAGGAAGACTTTCTTGGACTGGTTGATGGCAGGTACAGAACGACCATGGTGGAGGGGCGCTTTGTTTTTGAGATGGTCGGAGGTTGCTGAAGGAAAGAGTTTCCATCACAACGCAAATCGTGTTCTTCCATCAACAGTGGTCAGTCAGTGACCATTCCCCTACGCCTGAGCCAAGAAAATCAGGGTGCTGGCAAGCCTAGCCTAGCTGCAAAGCAGAACCCCTTCATCTACCAGTGCTAGTTGGTGGTAAGAGGGGCCTAGACTGGTCCAAATCCCTTGGGTGGCCCTTGGAAGTCCTATTGAGAAGTCTATGTTCTGTGTGAATACTATTGTTTTGTCCAAGATAGGATTGGTCAGATGAGTATGCAAGATGAGGATTTGCTTTGAGATCGTTGTTTTTTTTTCTTTTTTCGTGCCATTGCGCGCAAGTGCTCTATATATATGTTTGCTTCAGCTGAAAATAACGATTTGTAGAGTAGAACACGAGTTTGTTGTGTCAGCCAATTGGCTGTTCATGTTACCCGAGTCAGCATCTATATGTCAGCACTTGTTCCCCACTTGGTGAGCCGTTTTGAGAAGTCTTCGTCACTCGCACGCACCGTAAAGATCGGTCGGCGTTGGGGGTGTCCCTCACTTGAGAGAAATTCAACCCCATTAGGGATGCACATACCTTTTCAGAGGGTATGTGGATCCATAGGGGCCCAATGTTGCAGTGACAGGTCCAACCATCAAAGCACTGCTCAAAGCAAACTCAGCAGGCCATTCAGCTTGCCTCACTCAGACCAAAGATGAACATCCATCGCGTCAGCAGTGTTTCCACTTTGAGTCTCTTCCAGGCCAGCCGTTGAGCCTCATTGTTCCCGCAGTGACCGCCCCAAATTCCGGCATCACACCCCAGGCAGAACATGTGCGCATCCCATAAGTGGGTTCACGAGCTTGCATTTGCGGGATAGGTGGACTTCCACTGGGTTGTAGAAGCTGTATATATATATATATATATTGGGTCTGTCCTATTAAATACCTGCAACAGTCAGCAACCAATTATCACTATTTTTGGACAAGGCCTCTACTAACCATCAACATCCACTGTTACAGGAAATAGGATAGACCCAATATATATATATATAAGTAGTTATATGAGTATATATATATGTTATAGTTAGCTAGTAGGATGGAGGCCCTCGCTATTAGGTTGCATGCCATCGCTCTTATATCCTTTTTAACATAGGTCTTCCCCAGGATCAAGTTGCTCAAAAGGGTCGATGATAGGGGGTCTGAAACTCCATTCCCTGGGACACTGCGGCTTGGCTGTTCCGTTTCGCCTTCCCGGCACCTCAGGTGGTGCCCTCTGGGCAGGACAGCCTTGCGCCACGGAATGATAGCATCACCCAGTCGCAGGAGCGGATTCTCCGGACGTCCGGAGCAGGTGAGCCATTCGATAAACATCCGTGTTCATGTTTAATCAGTGTGTTGTCATATCGAAGTTGTGCGTAAGCAAAACCTGCACGCGCGTAAGGTTGCGTAAGCTTTTTGTAAGGAAACCTTTTGCATAAGCCATGTGTAAGCTTTGAGCAACCCCTCTCAGAAGTGCTAGGACTAAGGAACAGTCCAACTCCACACATACATACACAATCCAAACTCGAATTGCTGATCACACACAGTCCAAACACCACAGCTGAACAGGCAAACCTTCATGTCAGACATAAGAAACTCCAGGTGATTTTTGTGAGTTCCGGCGCGCGTAAGCTGCGCGTGAGCTCCGCGTAAGCTCCGGTGTCCTTTTCCACCAGTAGCCCACATGCCTCCTTCTCCGAAACCGTTGCGTCAGCGGCAGCGTGTGGTTGAAGACCTCTATATACAATGTGGTTTGCGCGCATCGCCCTTGCACTTCCACTTCTCCACTTCCTGCTGCTGCAGGTCTGCTGCTGCAGGTCTGCTGCTGCTAGTCTGCTGCTGCTGCTGCTGCTGCAGGTCTGTCTGGTGTTAGTCTGCTGCTGCTACTGCTGCTGCTGCTGGTGCTGCTGCTGCTGCTGCTTGGTTGCTTCTGCCTTCGAGCCTTCTTCTTCGTCCTCATCTTCAAGTGCTTCTTCAGCATCCATATCCGAAGATTAGGTGTAGTAAATGTCCATTGTGCAAAATATGCAGCGCGTAAGCTCGCGTTGTGGTGTCAGCTGCATTTTGTGCCAAACAGGCGTCGCGTAAGGTCTGCGTAAGCCCTTCTTGCTCCAAGTGTACCGCGTAAGCAAACATGTGAGTCGCGTAAGGCAGCGTAAGCACAAGCGTAAGCCCAATGATACGACATGGGATTTCATCAAGGTTTTCAGAAACGCTCAGGTGTGTTGGAGAATACTTGGAAAAGTGGTGGTTGTCCAAAGAGGAAAACGCCTCTGTTTCATGAATTTGTGGTTGTCCACATGTAATTATGTTATACAGTTATACTATAATGTGAAAATGTACGCTACATATTACTAGTTGCTGATCTCTGCAGGCGTTTTCCTGGAAGAACGAACGCATGCCGCATGTGATAATTTGTGATCCAAGAGGCGAAGGGGGAAGGGAAAGTCCCCAGCGAGCAGCAAGGATTAGACAAGAGAGGCATCACAAGTGCTGGCGGAAGTGCTTGGGGTATTGATACGTTTTGCTTTACAAGCTACCCAGCCTACACTCGAAAAGCCTGTTTGGGTCTTGGAGACGAGCAAGGCTGAGCTTATTAGTGGGGGATTCCTTGGGGAATGAACATTGGCAAGCAAACAAAGACAAGGTGTTTACGTACTGCCCGCTACTTGCTACTGATTGTTGCAAACCGCTGTTTTTTTTAAAGCCGGACATGGTTGCTGAGTTACTACCATGGAAAGAGCACTTCTTCATAGAAACAAAGCCGGCCAATGCATCGCTATTAGGTTGGAGGCCATCGCAGGGGGGGAGGTGTCGGTATCCTGGAAGCTAGAGCTCTTTTCGTCATTTTCCCTGGACCTTTGCTGGGAGCCTTGGGTGACCCGTCAGAGCACTGCTCTCACATTGTTGGACAGTAAAATCAACACCCTGACTGGCTCAAACACACCGAACAGGTTCTTGCGCATTTCTATTCACATGAGTGTCGGTCATTGCCTTCGCGTTTTTCAGAGGATTCATGGATGAAACACGTCGCCCAATGGACCCTTGATGTTTGGACAACGATTTGTAATAACCGCAGCTTGACCATATCCCGATGCTTGCATCCCTCTGAAGTCATTTGCCTTCCGCTCAAAAAGCCCTTCACCGGGCGTTGACGCCATCGCGATGTCCGCCAGGATCTTCCCATCGTGGTCAAGCCACGCGTGTCCTTGAAGGCTCGGATCACCCGTCGCCGCTTTTGGTCGGTCGCTGGGACTCGCCAGGTGCAGCCCTTTTGTGACGAAGAGTCGGAGGAGGCGCAGTTGGAATCAAGAAGAGGAACGTGAACATATGTTGATCCAAAGAGAAGAAGGTCAAATCAATGGTGTGTCCATTTTGAGCCACCTTCTATGACGGCTTTTGAGACACACACACAAACACACGTGTAGACTCTATCACACACAGCAATCGGAGGTATCATTCAATTCTTGTTGCTCTCTGAGATTTTCAACTGGCGGTGGGCACGAAGACACAAGGACAGGAAAGCTCCTATACTTGGCTGCACTGGTACAAGATTTCTTTGGACCTGCGAGCAGCCTGCGATGGTGGGAGATTGGCTTTGTTCATATATAAATATATAACTTAACTGTTTAAAGCAGCTGGATGAAGTAGACCAGTGTTGGCCTGGACAATCTAGGGAAGCTGGCAAGAATCGCCTGAGGACTTGATTGGCACAAAAGCTGTTTGACACTAGAGCCGCACCCCTCCCCTGGTGGACGCCGCGTCCTCGTCGGCAGGCACTCTGGGCGGTCAAGAAACATGGCAGAGATAGCAGGCGAGAGGAATGGCTTGAAAAGCAGCGAACGTTGGACATCTTCGTTGAGGGATATGGATGTTGGATCATGATGGTAATTTCCTAACAGGAGGACCGTTGCTTTGGACAAACCGGGTTTGATGCCCATTCCCCATCCCCATCCTCACGAATGACACTTTGTTTTCAAGTGACTTGTCGGGCAGCCAAGTGCTGCAAGAGGCGTCCAAAGCTACCGTTGAATACTTTCATCACAGTGTTGAAGCACAATTCGCTGGCATATGAAGTGTTCATTTCAGCATATTCAATTACTGTAATTACTGTAAATATAGGCATAGTATAGGCATAGGTCAGGTGAATGTTGGTTCCTAGGCCACCAACCCGTATCCTTATGGACTGAACTCTGCACGACAGAGTGGCCTGGAAGGAGTGGACTTTGCTGAGTGGACTGAGGTTAGCGACGGGGAGGAGTTTCTGGTTGCTCCACGGTTCAGGAGCATGAAAGGCCTCCATGACAGACTGAACCAGCCATACTCAGCCACCCACTAGACTCCAGGTCATATCCTACCCAGGAAAAGTGGATAACCTTGGTCTCTCTGTGGGGGGATTGGGGACACCCCACTCAACAAGAACAGATGGACCAAGGTCATCCAAGGTCTAATTCTAATCTTTTGTTTCCAGGAAAACTGGGAGCTGAGGATTCTTAGTGCCGTGCTGACAATGTAAGCACCGCTCAACCAACTAGGGGCCAGGATACCTGTATAAAATTGTAGAATAAACCATTATTAAGTTATACTCGGCTAGCAAACACATATTTGGATAGACAATTGTCTCCCCGTAGACAATTTCAGCTACTCCTCCAACAATCATGGAGAATTGCTGGTTAATGCCTTCAGCGAATTCAGAAGGTCCTCGAACACCAACGACGTTGGCCGGCGGTTTGAACGGCCCACGTCTTCGGCTTTTTGCCTCGCAGGTCTCCCAGCGAGCGAGACTTGACCTCCCCGCAGCTGCAGGTCGGTTGGAGGTGCGCCCCCGGCCCAGTCGAGAAGAGCAAAACTCCATTGGAAGAGATTGGAAGGATGGGGTGCTCCAACCTATATAGCGATGGCCTCCAACCTACTAGGATGAAGTGCTTAGGGGGAGCATGCAGGTGGGTCTACTTGTGGTTGATTGTGACCTTTATGCGATGACCAGTGGGTCAGGGTGGTGCCTAGAATCGCCAAGCTTGGATCAAGACCGCCACTACCACCAGGTGCCCGTGGGGCACCATTTACAATACCCTGGGGCTCCAACTAGAGCCTCAGAAGGTGGTTGAGGTGGGTTTAGGGGTCTATAACTACCTTATGAGGTTGTGGTTGGATCCCTGGGGACATATCATTCACACAATTTCACACACATATTACTGTATTATATACTCATATGTATACTTATACCTATATACAATCATCTATAATTATATATATATTAATATACATATCATCGGGTTCCTACATACGGTTTTGTGGGGTAGTCAGTGTCAATGAAGAACTCTTGGTTTGCACACTTCCTTAACATATGTTTACTTATTGTGTTTAGTCTTTAAGTCTCCATTTCGGCGGGTATAACGGATTGAGTGGGCTTCGAGGTGCCATATGTCACTTCTTACTTTTGCGTTGGGAAATGTGCAAGAGATAGAGGCCCCCAAATAGTTAAATAGATCGAACATACAATGAGTCAGAAAGTTGCAAGAACACATGTTTGATATAACTAAGTCATCATGACCAAACACCGGAACTGTGCGGGATCATTGGTTGATCCATTTTTCGGATGCCCCTCACTCTTCTATCCCCCAAAGAGGGCAACCCATCCGTTTTGGAAGACGAAGAAGCGTAGTCTCGGACCAGGTCGGCCTCAAACGATGCCTGCGGGATGAAAGCCAGGCAGGATGAGTCGAGAAATTGGCTGAGAGGCGACCAAGCCGTAACTTGTTGGACAGCCAAGGTTGTAACAAGACGCTACGAACGGAGCAAAGGGCATCGCTACTAGGAGCGATCGGACGCTACTAGGGGCTCCTGGCCTTACTACTAGGAGCAAGCAGCTACCAGGAACTTTGTCCCTTTGTCCCATTTATTTCATTTTTTTGCTTCCAAGGCCTAGGAGCCTAGGAGTCATGTCAGTCCGTGTCACATTTTCCTCTACCTCGACTTGAAGGATGGGATGCGAAAGCTACAGGCTTAAATGGGCTTAATGTTTCCAACCCAAACATGGCTAGAACTCCTTGTGTTCATGTTCTGTCGCTCGAAAACCCGCCGTGCTTGTGACACGTGACCCACCCAAGGGTCCACCCAAAATTGGCCGTTTGATGGACCCAGTGGCCTGTGATCAAGCACTGAATGTCAGGGTATCTCCGAATGTGGTGCTTGCCTCAAGTTATATGATGTCATGAGTTAAGTATGAGACAAGGGTCTGACAAGGGATTCCTGCACGTGTTGAACTATTTGGCACCCCTGAAACATGTTTTTATGCATGGCTGCAACTGTGTCAGGCTGACACCCTCCCATTTCCAGCCTTCTCGGTCCGATTTTCGCGCCGATTCCCAGGAAGTCCGGCAGGCGAACGGGGAAACGCGCACCGTTCCCGGTGCGTCCGAACGATGCATCCGGCGACGACCCATATCGACCGATCTGTCTTTAAATCGATGGAAGAAGCAACAGGATCACGTGACGTGTTTGCGTTGACATGCATTCATTATTGTGGTGGTTGATTGTTGCTGCTGTCAACGTGGAGAGGTAGTAGCTTGGGCTGGCTATATTATTAGAAAGGTTTCATAAAGTATACCGGACATTACTGCACTATACCTAATTACATGCAATGCATTGAATATCATTGAATAATATTACTTCAACCAACATTGAATCTGAGATCATGTATAGACTAGCATCGGGTAAATTGCCACTGCAGGATGTTCTTTTGTCTCCTATGAACCGTTTGCGAACCCCACTTGCAAGCTCACAACTATATACTTGTACCTGCAATCAGACTGGACGCAGTTCGGATCCGCTTTAGGATATAGACCACTTGCGCAAAAGAAAGCAAACCACCTTCTATCTAGGAAAACCAAAAACAGGTCCTGGTCTTTTTGTTCAAACACTGTTTAAGGAATATCCTTGCACGAGCTTTGCAAAACACAACTCTGAAATTAAGAATAACAATGCAAGTTTCTTCCGTTCGTGACCTTTTTGGAACCCCTGTTTGTGACCTTTTTCCAGGCCATCACATGCCCGCCAAGTGATATCAAAAGGTTGGAAGAGCCAGGTCCTATCCGGTTGGAGGCCATCGCTACTAGGTTGGAGGCCATCGCTAGTAG